GGACAGGCTCCAAAGCTACACAGAGAAACTCTGTCTTGAAAAACAAAAACAAGACAAATAAACAAAAAGCAAAAAAAAAAAAAAAAAAAAAAAAAAAAAAAAAAAAAAAAAAATCATGGTCCCTCAATGCTAGCTAGTCTCCGGGAAGAGCAGCCATTAAAACTACAAAGAACAAACCAGAGAGAAACTGGATTAGCATCTTATATTAAATTTGAATTAGGATATCCAGGCCATGCTTTCTTGGAAGATTCTCTCTCTTTCTATAATAAATGTCAAAGAAGACAAAGGCACTCAACTGAGATTCTGCCTGTGAGTGTTAGACTTTTATTTTCCAAGTGCAGTATTCTGAAACCATAAGCAAGCAATTCCATGTGATGGTCTTGTATTAGCCTGTCACTGTTTCTCTTTTAATAAACTCACATGCACTCATTTGACTGACATCTTAACAAACACAGAGACACAGCAGAAGAAGACATGCATTAGATTTAGTTATTTATTGTTTTCCAAAATAGGATTTCTCTGTTTAGCCCTAGTTGTCCTGGAACTCACTCTGTAGACCAGGCTGGCCTCAAACTCAGAGATCCACTTGCCTCTGCCTCCCAAGTTTTGGGATAAAAGATGTATGCCACAGTGCCTGGCTTTTACACTTTTTGTTTTAACTGACCTACTCTCAGCTATGATCATGTCAGTTATGAGAGCAGCTTCTATTCTTGCTATTTAGTTTCAGGGTTAGGGTTAGGGTGCAGTCCCAAAAGGCTGGATTAAAGACTTTCAGTTGTCTATAAACTGTCTGAGTGATCATCTCTGGTGGACTCCCCATAACAATCCTCTCAGAGGTAAAGTCTAGAAAAAATTGCTTTTTTCTTAAATTTATTTATTTTTTAATCTTTGGACATTAGGTTTAAAAAATAGACAAACAGAGCTGGAGAGATGGCTCAGAGGTTAAGAGCACTGACTACTCTTCCAGAGGTCCTGAGTTCCCAGCAACCACATGGTGGCTCACAACCATCCGTTATGAGATCTGATGCCCTCTTCTGGTGTTCAGATATACATGGAAGCAGAATATTGTATACATAATAAATAAATAAATAAATAAAATCTTTTAAAAAATTAGACAAACAATGGAAAATGACCCTAAACACATTCACACACATTCAAACATTTAAAACAGGCATTCCAATTGTGATTATCATCTTAAAATAAATTTAAAAAAATAAACAAAGGGCTGGAGAGTTGACTCAGCAATTAAGAGCATTAGCTGCTCTTCCAGAGGACCAGAATTTGATTCTCATATGACAGCTCATAACTATCTATAACTCCAGTTCTAGAGGATCTCATGCCCTCTTCTGGTTCCAAGGGCATCCGGCATGCAAGTGGTGCACAGATAATGACGAATGGAAAAAAGAAATAACAAGGAAATAAAAGGAAATAAAAAGGAAAGGAAAGGACATGACTGCTCCTACGTATGGAGGAGGAGAAAGTTTATTGTAGATGTGTGGGAGAGCATAGGCAGAGGCAGGGACATCTGGGAGAGTCCAGAGTGGACATGACCTTGAGCCAGTGAGGAGAGGGGGAGGGAAAAGGAGAGGGAAGATAGGGGACCAGGTGCAGCAGCTAAGAGGGCAAAGACAGGTTGGATTATACAGGGAAGAGCAGCTGGGGGAAGGGTAGCCCTTCAGGCTTCAGAGTAGGTCCACTTTGATATGTTAAATAGGCACTTCAGTCACTCCTCCCAGGTTTGAAACCTAACACATACATGCAGGCAAAACATTCATAAACAATCAATCAATCACTAAATAACTTTTAAAATTCAAGAGTCAGGCATGGTTCCTGTTAGAAATAAGTTTCAGGGGCTGGAGAGATGGCTCAGTAGCTAAGAGCACTGCCTGCTCTTCCAGAGGACCTGGTACAATTTCCAGCACCCACATGGTAGCTCAGAACCATCCGTATGAGATCGTGTGCCCTTTTCTGGCCAGCAGGCCCACATAATAAATAAGCAAATCTTTCAAAAACAAAACAAAATTCTGCTTTAAAGAAGGAAAAAGAAAAGAAATAAGTTCCAGGTCGCAAAGAAAGAGACCACCACTCCAACTGAAGTGTCTGGACAAGGCAAACTTCACTCTTGATTGACGGGGTGTGTCCAGAAGAGCAAACACGTGGAGATAGGAAGTAAGTACATTTGTGGTCTTTAAGCTAATAGATTCCAAAGATTGTTATCTATTAAGTCACAGGATGCTAACTCTGACATAGAGGTGGGCAAGGAGGATGCTCTGGGAGCTAGAGCCAACCCAAGATAAAACAATTAGCTTCTTGGACCTGCAACATTCTCAACCCTCCGTGTCTTAGTTGTCGTCAGTTGGTCAGACTTTGCAGAACCATCTTCCTTCCAGGTTCTCATTAACAATGTCTTGATCAGACAGACAGACCTTCAACTTGTCAGGACAGGAGCCCTCCTGGCAGAAGAAAAAGGCCCTGTCAGGCCTTTGTTTTAAGCTGCCAGGCTTTTGTCTCAGGGCAGGGGCAGGGTGCCGGGGGTGGCGGGGGAGGGTGCTGGTCTTTGCCATCTTAGAAGTTTGCTTTTTTTTTTAAGATTTATTTTTATTTTTATTATTTTAGGTTTTGTGTGTGTATGGGTTGTGTATAGATTTATACATGTGCAGGGACTGAAAGGGTTGGAAACCCTGGGAGCTGGAGTTACAGGTGATTCTGAGCTGTGCACATGGATGCTGGAACTGAACTCAGGTCCTCTGTGAGAGCAGCCAGTACTCTTAACAACTGAGCCATCTCTGCAGTCCCCTTGCTATCTTATTCCCAGGGGTGCTCCCCTCCCTATCTGTCATCCTGTCAGGGATCTATCTAACTGCTAATCCCTCAGTTTGACATTTCCCATCTTTCAGAAGCACTTCGCCCAGTGCTAAGGTTATCACTAATACATTCTCCTCGTCCCTAGGGCTGGGATGCAGTGCAGCACTCAGTTTTGCCTTCCATTACTCCTGGGTAGACCCTGTGCTCTGAGACTCTGGTGCCCCAGTGCTGCTGCCCAACATCCCTTCTTGCAACAGAGCCCCGGGTAGCCACATCCTTCTAACGGCATCCCTGACACCAGAACCTGGCCATTGGCCAGTCTGTGGCCCCTTGTTAACTGCTGTACCCCATGACCATATGGCTCCTGGTTCTTTCTGATCCTATCACTGGGTGTGACAATGGCGGCCCGACTGTTGTTATGATAGTCACCCAAGCATTTCCCATCAGGCTCTGATGCCCATATTGACTTTTTACTGACATTGGACATGTTAATAGTGTTTGAGGAAGCCAGGGTTCAGGGCTTAGGTTTGAGGTACCTGTGGGTCTCCTTTGTCCAGTTTAGCATATAAACCCTTCTTCCTGCCCGAGGGTGTGGGAATTGTCTGCCTTGCTTCCACCTGAGAAATACTTCTGCAACTGAGTTCCCAAGAACCTGTGTCTCTTTTGGGGGCCTCACACCTGTGGCTAATTCTTTCACAGGGGGACCTGATATTTCTGGAACCAAGGTGAGTCCCCATCCTGGCTCTGAGCTGCCTCTGAAAGCCCCTATGGAGGGAACAGTGGGTGTCCTGATTATCCTTTGTGGACAGTAGGGACACTGAAGGGAGACAGTTACTGACAAATTCTCAGCTGAGGTCTAGAAGCTTCTTTGGCATCCTTGTTTTGGCTAAAAGATGGGTGGGATGGGATGTGTCTATGACAGAACCAGGATCATTTTAATGGGACACTGTAGATATGTGATGTAGAGCTCCAGAGTTTGGCAGCATCCCTGGCTTCTACCTAGTGTGTGCCAGTGGCATCTTCTCAGGCTCCAAACCAGAAATGCCCTCAGATGCTGGCAGATGTGTCCTTGGGGCCCACTCCCGTGGCTGTGAAGTGCTGGGCTGGGGATGGGATCCAGGTGATCTGTGGGTTCCTGCCAGGAGCACAGAGCTTCCAAAGCCAGGCTAGCTAGGTGTCCCTTTGACTCAAGAAGGGCAAATTCCATTGTAGAGCTAGGAATGAGGCAGGCATATGGCCTGTCCTTAGTGTAGAAGCCCCTTGGGACTCCTGCAAACACTCCAGTGGCAAGAAAAAGACTTCAGGCAAGAATTGTCCACAAACGGGAGAACTTGGCTTGGCCCACTGTAGGCTCCAGGCAGCATCTGTTCAAAGATTTAACAGTCAAGTTAGTCACAGCAGAGCAGCCACAGACCTGGGTTGTGGGTGTCCCTGATCAGCACTGGGCTCTTAAGCCTCAGCTGCCCACTGAAGCAGCAAGGACACCCTTGCAGAGTGCCCTGGTGCAGTTTCTGCAGGATGCACTGTGTGGTGTTGGACACTGCAGGTCCAGCAGAGGAGCCCCAACCTGAAGCTCCCCGTGACAATGTATTATGTATGGCTGCGTGTTCCCAGCATGGGGAAGTTGCTCCACTGGAGTCTCAGAGTTAACGAGACAGATGGGGGACTGTCTCACCCATAAAACCCAGGCTGCTTCAGGGATACCTGGCACTTCTGAGCCACCAGCCTGAGATACAACTCTTATCTTTCTAACATTCCTGGTGATGCTACTGCAAGCAGGTAGTGACACCCATGTAATGTTAGTGGCAAAGGACTTCAGGTCCTTGAGCATGGGTCATCAGCCCCCTCCCATCCTTCCTGAGGTCAAATGCTATTTCCTCCCAGCTCTTCCTCCAAGCAGAGGCCTGGCCAAGCCACCTGCCCACTTCCTGGAGCTTGAGGATAAAGGGGCTGAGAGGTTCAAGCAGGAGGAAGCTGTGGAGACCTGGCACGGTAAGGGCACCACCCCCTCCTTTCCCAGGTGTCTCCACTGACTTTGGATTTCAATGTTCTCCATCCCAAACCAGGCAAGCCCAGTCCCCTCCACGCCTCTCCATGCTCCTATCCTTGCCCAGAATCGTGCTCCAGTCCTCTCCATCCTGAGCCCGGATACTCCCAGGCCCCTCCAACTCCCTGCCCTGTGCTTCTCTCCACAGATGCTGAGCCTGTTGTGTCTGACCCTCTTCTTTGTTGGGTGCTCCACGGCTGGAACCCCAGGTGAGTCTTCAGCCCATGCCATCCTTCCCTTCTACACTGGTTCCATGAAGCCCTGTCCCCAGGACTCTGGGGACACATGTATGACCTGTTCTACCTTAGTGTGGGTGGCAGGCTGAGCACTGGCCTCCTGACCTTCTACTTTTTCTTGCAGCACCCGTGTCTGAGGATGTGCTGGTGGGCATTGTGGGGGGCCACAATGCTCGGCAGGGGAAGTGGCCATGGCAGGGCAGCCTGAGGATTTACAGCTACTACATGACCTCGTGGGTGCACATCTGTGGGGGCTCCATCATTCACCCCCAGTGGGTGCTGACTGCTGCCCACTGCATTCGCAAGTGAGTTCCTTTGTCATCCAGTGCTGGGTAGGTTGAGGGGTAAATCAGAAAGGCCAGGCCAAAACCTGGGTCTGGAGGCTGGATTCTAGTTGATTCTGTCCAGGATTGTGGAGAACTTTCCCAAAGGACTAGAATATGTCATCACAACTTCTTTCTGACCTCAGGAGAAACGCTGACCCATCATCCTTCCGGATCCATGCTGGGGATGTGTACCTCTATGGGGGCAAGGGGCTGCTGAAAGTGAGCCGGATCATCATCCACCCAGACTATGTGCATCCTGGCCTGGGTTCTGATGTGGCCCTGCTCAGGCTGGCAAAACCTGTGCAATCTTATGCTAATGTCCGGGCTGTCAAGCTGTCCTCTGGGTCTCTTAATGTCACCCCAAAGGACGTGTGCTGGGTGACTGGCTGGGGAGCAGTGAGCATGTGGGGTAAGTATTGGGGAAGGATTTGAGATGTGAGAACAAACTTACCATCTGAGGATTCCTGGTGGGTGGTACCCAGGTCCTGGGAGCAGGATTCAAAGAGGAAAGATGGAGTGGCTGACAAACATGAACTAATGTAGATGCATCTCCAAGCTACTCTAGACACCCATCAGAATCTCTGTACCTGAGGCCAATGACACTGTTGAGCCCAGAATCCAAGACTCTAAGGTGGAATGGTTGCTTATTTTCCAACCAATAATAAAATATCTTGGAGAAAATGCCAGAAAACAAACCCATTTGTTTGGCCCTTAACAGACAAGCAGACAGAATCCATGTGTAGAAGTCCTAGAAGTTAGAGGTTAACATGGACCCTTCAGGCTGACATCCTCACATTCTTTTCCAGAAGGGGATACTGAAGCTCAGAGGGGGGCTGGACTTGGACTGGGATGGAGCTATGCTGGAGACAGACCTCTCTACCCCCAAGTAGAGCAGTAAGATCGTGGGATGGGCAGGGGATCTATGTGCCAACCAGTCCCATCTCTCTTCTCCATAGGATCACTGCCTCCCCCCTACCGCCTGCAGCAGGTGCAAGTGCAGATAGTGGACAATGACCTTTGTGAGGAGATGTACCATAATGCCTCCAGGCACTACTATCGTGGTCAGAGACTGATCCTACAGGACATGTTATGTGCAGGCAGTGAAGGCCGAGACTCCTGCTATGTGAGTCTCACCCACCTCCCCCTCTCTGTTCCCCATTCCCATGCCAGGGCCAGTAACCAGCAATGCTGCTTTTTCTCCCAGGGTGACTCAGGCGGCCCTCTGGTCTGCAATGTGGCAGGCTCCTGGAACTTGGTGGGAGTGGTGAGCTGGGGCTATGGCTGTGCCCTGAGGAAAATCCCTGGGGTCTACGCACGCGTGCAGTCCTTCCTGCCCTGGATCGCTCGGCAGATAAAGCTGTTCTCCTGAGCCTCGCTGCTGGTCAGGCGAGGATGGATCTGCTTTGATCACAATTCCAGAATGCATGGGCAGGGTTTAGGCTCTGGAGTGTTGGTGCCCAGTTCGCTGAGCACTAGCTACTAAACATGGCTCTGTTTCCCAGCTTCCTAAATAAAGATGTGTTGCTCACTCATGTTCAAGTTTTTGTGTGAATACAAATCTATTGTTTTTTTCTTGTGGAAACACCTATGGACACTGTTTTAATAGTTTTCTAGACAAGGAAACCAAGGCCTGAACTCAGCAAAGGTGGAGCTTAGGCAGGTCTGCATGTGTTCCCCAGGCACCCTTAACACTTATCAGGCTGATTCTTGTCTCTCCAGCACCTAGTATCCCTATATTATCCTGGAACCTGGATATGGTGACATTATGCAATGATAGGAAAGGCGACAATCTCAGGTACCCAGCCTTGGGACAATGAAACTCTGACCTTCATCAGTCTCACCATGGGGTCAGGAAGCTGCTGCAATGTTGATGTCCTTCCTGTACCTCATTTTTTTTAAACCCTAGGATCCTGAAGACTCAGTTACCCAGTGTGGCTAAGGTTATCTTCATGGCTTAGGCTATTGTCCTGAACTACACACAATGACAGGCGTTTATGCCCAGGGTGAGGATGAGGGCCAACAGCTACCCAGCTTCCCTCACAGAGCAGTTCTGACCCTGGGTGCATGGTGGAGAGGGGCTGTTTAACTCTTTTCACTGGGAGCAGCCGGAGAAGGAGGGTGGATTGGGCCGGAAACATCTACTCCAGACTCAGACATGACTGTTCTTTCATCCAGAGGCTCCACCTAGAAGCTGGTAGTCTGCAGAGGTCATCAGGTGCATAGGACAGACAGTTGCACTGGCCTTTGTGGCTTCTCGGAGATGGGAGGGGACTGGTGAGTGCTAAACTCAGATGAGATTTATCTCAAGGGGTCAGGAGTCAAGAAGGGACAGCAGAGGCTCTTCTGAGTCTGGAGGGGGAGTCAGGATTGCAGAGGAGATCTTAGGTCCTGTGGGGGTCCCTCTGATCTTCTGAAAGGAAGCAGGTGCCTTTAAGTTGGTTTCTTTCCCTTTCTTGCCTATAACTGGGCAGAGCAATGAGAGAGAGGTGGTCACTCCAAGGAAACTGTTAGTCACCTGATTCCCATGTCTCCCACAGACATCTGGACAGTGCCACTGTCCTCAAAGGTACCATCTGCTTTCTAAACCTCTAAACACGCGCACACACACACACACACACACACACACACACACACACACCCCATTCCCTATCCCAGAAGGTATCTTCAATTGATAGCCTCTAACAAATAAAAAAAAAAAAACAGTTTTCCCCAAGGAAGAGTCACTGGGTAAACAAACCACACTGAAAGATAGGCCTCATACCCATCAAGAGCAAGACCTGCCCCGTGCTCCCACATCTCCCTAGGGCAGGAAGGGTGGAAGAAAAAGGCTTTCTGTAGCACACAACTCTGGTGTCATTGCTTCAGGGTCAGTTGGAAGGGGTGGGAGATCCAGGAGTATCTGGACTATGGCTATCCAGTGGCTCCCAGAGTGATGGAGCTGTGTTGACTCAGCCCTTTCTCTTATAATTCCCCCTTCCTGGGGGTAAGGAGAAGGTCCTCAGGCCCTGGGAGGATAGGGTGGCCGGGGTGCTGGAGCAATGGGCACTGCTCCTCTAGCTGGTGCAGTCTGGTTCCCACAGCCTGTGCTTGAGACCCTTCCTGTGCTGCCCCAATGACCTTTTCTTTTCTGCCCGTGACACACTGGAAGCCAGGGCTAGGGAAGTGTGGTCAGTGGACTCTTTGAGCCCAAGGTCTGTGCCCAACTATGCTCCATGTGGCACTGGATGCCCCATGCCTGCTGTGAAGTATTTCTGTGTGGCTCACAAAGACACCAAGGTCTGGAACAAGGAGTCAATACTTGTCAACACTTCTGGGTGCCAGAAACTATACTAAATGTGTCTTTCTGCCCTTCAGAAGAACATATGTGCCCCTAGTCTACCTATCAGGGTACAGAAATATTTTCTCAGTTTCTGCTAGTGGTCTCAGTGTGTGTGTGTGTGTGTGTGTGTGTGTGTGTGTGTGTGTGTGTGTGTGGTGTAGCAGGGAGAAGGGTGCATATGTGGAGGTCAGAGGACAACTTGCAGGTGTCAGATTCCTCCTTCTACCATGTGAGTCTCAAGGATGGAGCTCAGGTTGACAGGCTTAGCAACCAGCTCTTGTACCTGCTGAGTGCCATCACATCTGGCTCCCACTCCCCCCAGACAAGACCTTTTTGTTTCTCTATTTGTTTTTGTTTTGTTTTTCAAGACAGGGTTTCTCTGTGTTACCCTGGCTGTCCTGAAACTCACTTTGTAGACCAGGCTGGCTTAAAACTCAGAGATTTGCCTGCCTCTGCCACCCGAGTGCTGGGATTAAAGGTGTGCGCCTCCATGCTTGGCTCTGAGACAGGGTCTTGCTATGTTTGTAGCCTTGGCTGGTCTGAAACTCACTGTGTAGGCCAGCCTTTCAGTAGCTACCATGGTACCTGGTACAGAGTATACATTTCACTAAGTTTCACTGAGTAGCATTTGCCTGGAGGCCTAGAAAGTTAATCATACTTGATAGACTCTGGAGGTAGAGGGGGAGGTGGAGAGGGAAATCCATCCCTGCCTTCTTAATAGGATGACAATGGCTTCCAGAGATGGTACCCTGGTGATATTCCTGATGTAACCACACTCTTACCCCTAGGAAGTCACTTTGTCTCCACAGCCCTTACTGATGACAATATAGTAGCTTCCCCTTGCAAGACCTGGCAGTCATCCTCAGAAAATGGGGGTAGCAGGTATTTGGAGGGACCCTCACCAGCCTTGGTAGGTGCCATGCCTTCTTCTACATGCCCAACTGAGTTATTTTTCTTATAACCCAGGAAGGCCCAGGAGTAGTGTCCTCTGTAGGGCATCTGGGAGTGAAGGGAATTGGTGCCTGTAGGGCAGTGCCTTAGAAGGTAGCTCTGACAGCTGGAGTTGTTCCACACCCGCCCACCATTCTCATGAATGGTTCAGGCCCTGTCCTTGTCTACAAGAAAGTGGATGAGTTTTCTTTAGTGGACCCCATTGCTTGGGTGTTTGTTTGTTTTATTTTTCTGTTACAGTGCTGGCGGTTAAAACCAGAGTCTTGTGCACAGTGGACAAGTACTCTGCCATTGAGTGATGTCCACAGTCTTGACAACACTGCTTTTTTAAATAGCAAACTGCCCTGTAAAAGATGAGACAATGAAATGTAAAAGACAAGAAAATTAAATGGAGAAAATCCTAATTGAATGCTGCTGCAGTCTGCACAGAGATGTTTCAGCCAAGTCTGGTCATCCTCAGGGCTGAGCCACCATGTCCTGATGCCCTTGACAGGTGCTATTATGAATACACAACTGGCTGGTCCCTAATGAAATCTTGGGTAAATAAACCTTTTAGGATTCTATTAGTGTCAGAGCCTTTTCTGGAATGCTCTTGGTAAACTCATCTTCAGAAAATAAAGACCAATAATAACTCCTGGATGTTTCCTAGGGACACTCGCTGTTTCACACTCATGGGGAACAGCTCTTTTCTCCCAATGCAGGTGAGACTGAACTGCATTCAGGATTTGGAATGGAAAAGATAGTGGTTTCCGCCAGGCATTGGTGGCGCATGCCTTTAATCCCAGCACTCGGGAGGTAGAGGCAGGCGGATCTCTGTGAGTTCGAGGCCAGCCTGGTCTCCAGAGTGAGTGCCAGGATAGGCTCCAAAGCTACACAGAGAAACCCTATCTCGAAAAACCAAAAATAAATAAATAAATAAATAAATAAATAAATAAATAAATAAATATAGTGGTTCCTTAAGGCCACAGGTTGGGGACCAAGCACTGAACATGTCAACCCTGACCTTTTCCCCTGCTCGCCTCTGAGCCTGATGCCATGAGAAGAGAACAGGACAAGTGTGGCCCTGAACAAGTCAATACAGTGAGACTGGCTTTTTGAGGCAGGCTGTCAAGACAGAATGGCCTAAGCATCTAGCATCTTTCCTAGGCCCAGTTCATCTCAATCCCAGGGACATCCTGCTCTGTCCCTGACTCCTAGGCTAACTTCCCATCTGCTCAAGGCTCAGCCTGAATACCCATCAAGGCATCCTTCAATGCTAGTCATGGGTATCCCATGTTGCTTGTATACTGCAGTTCCATCACCAGGGACCAAAATTGATCCTACTCCTTCAACGTTGACCTGAGAATGCTGGGAGCCAGCCAACATCATATGTGACTAAGCAAATCTGATCATGTGGAGAATGGGTCCCCCTGGACACCCAGAACTCAAGAGGAGGATTTTTCAGATCGTGCAAATGTAATGTGCTTAACCCAGGAGCTGGCTCGTCAATTATCCATTTTTCCTTCGAGCACAGGCTGGGATAGACTGACGACTCTGGTCATTTTAGTCTAAGACAATGGTGCCCCAGTGCTAGTCCCTTGTCCTAACTCTCCTCTTGCAACACCAGCCCTGAGCAACCACATCCTTCACCTAACTCTAACGGCATCCCTGAACCCAGAACTTGGACTGGACCTCTCACTGGCTAGGTTGTAGCTCCTGGGCTAATGTGTAACTGACCCAACTCCTGTGGTCCCTAGTTCTCTCTGATCCTATCACTGGATGTGCTCATTCATGGTGGTCTTGCTTCTATCAGGGTGGCCAGGTATCCTGTCTCTAGGTCTTGTGGCCTAACAGCAACAGCAGGACCACCAATGGGGGCCTCAGGTGATCTCACACAGATAAGGCACTCTGGGCCTGCAATGGCCACAGGAAGCAGGAAATGATTTCCCTTGAGTGAACCCTTGGGTTTTGATAGGTTCCCTGGAAGATGTAAAGGGCTCAACCTGAACTCACCTTCTGTCTGAACTCTTGTGTAAACTGCCCAGATGGGCATCCCTTGTCTAAGAGGACCTATTTCTCTTTCTTTTGCCATGCCAGTCTTATTTTGTTTTGTTACTTGAGACAGGATCTCACTAGCCTAGAGTTCACTATTTAGACTAGACTGGCCTTAAACTCAGAGAGCCACATGACCCTGCTTTCTGCTGGGATTAAAGCTGTGTGCCACCACACCTGGCCTGCTGTTCCCAGTCTTGATGGTCTATGCAGGTCTTTCTTTCTTTCTTTCTTTCTTTCTTTCTTTCTTTCTTTCTTTCTTTCTTTCTTTTTTTCCCAAGTTTTCGTGACAGGGTTTCTTTGTGGCTTTGGAGGCTGTCCTGGAACTAGCTCTTGTAGACCAGGCTGGTCTCGAACTCACAGAACCCCCCCTGCCTCTGCCTCCCGAGTGCTGGGATTAAAGGCGCACACCACCAACGCCCGGCAAAGATTTTTTTTTTGCCATTTTTTTTAATTTTAGATTTTATTTATTTATTATGTATACAGTCTTCTGCCTGCATGCCAGCAGAGGGCACCAGATCTGATTCAAGGTGGTTGTGAGCCACCATGTGGTTGCCTGGAATTGAGCTCAGGACCTCTGGAAGAACAGTCAGTGCTCTTAAGTGCTGAGCCATCTCTCCAGCCCCCACCCCCATGCAGGTTTTGAAGCTACTCCACAGCTAGGCTTCCATTCAGGCTGAGATTCCCACATCACAGTACCCCCTTGCTTCTTTGCCACAACCCAAGGGGTCCATAGCCAAGAATCCCATGCCCTGATGCTAGGCTTACATTATTCTCCCAAAGTACCCCATCCTGGGGCTGCTGGACTCACACTGCCCCCATGCACAGAAGCCCTGTACACTTAGCTCAAGCACTCAGGACTTGTCTCACTGTGTGAGGACCTGGTCCAGATATGCATCTCCCTTACTTCATCCAGATTCCCCAGACACAGTCAGCCCTGAGGGACTGGGTGTGCTGTTCCACCAGCACTGCCCGAAGCCCTAAAGCCTACTCTGGCCTTAGAGCTTGGAGACATCAAGTCCTGAGTGGGAATGGTCATTTCTTTCTGGGTCACCTTGGGGAAAGAGCAGGAACAAACGTGTTTCCAATGACTGATAGGACCCTTTCCGAAAGATGGTATCATGGCAGCTGAAAAAGAGGAGGTTGGCCTGGTTCCCATGGGGCTGGTGCACCCAAAAAGGAGCCTCATTCTTTTGTCTAGTGCAGGTGAAGGGGCTGATGAATGGAAAACCTAGGAATCTGACCCTCAGTATGGGGATAGACCCCTTAGGTCTTGAACTTTCCAATGTTCCAAAGCTAACACTATACTGTAGGTAAAAGAAAGGTCCAGAGGGGCTAGGTGGTGGTGGCACATGCCTTTAATCTCAGCACTGGGGAGGCAGAGGCAGGTAGATCTCTGTGAGTTCCAGGACAGCCTGGTCTACAGATGGAGTTCCAGGACAGCCAGGGCTGTTACACAGAGAAAATCTGTTTCAAAAAACAAACCAAAAAAAAAAAAGAAAGAAAGAAAGAAAGAAAGAAAAAGGCTGGTCAGAGGGTCAGGAGTCAGGAGGTAGTGGTGTACACCTTTAGTCCCAGCACTCAGGAAGCAGAGGCAGGCAGATCTCTGAGTTTGAGGCCAGCCTGATCTACAGAATAAGTTCCAGCACAGCCAGGAATACACAGAGAAACCCTGTCTCACCTGCTCCCTTTCAAAAGAAAAGAACTGCCAGAGGCTGGGAGTGGGTAGATTACTTGGCAAAAATGCTCAGGGCCCCAGCAATGAATAAAAACCAGTCCTGGTGGTGCACACCTTGGGAGATAGAGAGGTAGAGGTAAGAGAATCAGAAGTTCGAGGTTATTCTAGGCTACATACTGAACTCAAGGCCATCTGATCCCTCCAAACCACATACCCCGCTCCCCTCCACAATTACTGGCCACAAATGGGGGGAGAGTTCCACCAGAGCCCATGGACACATCTGATACTAAGATTTGTGGAGGAGAAACACAAGACTGAGTTACTGTGGGCAGGGATGTGTAGCATGGGAATTGTTGGCAAGCTTTGGGACCGTGGGGCTTGATACTCCCACAGATGCTGCAAAGAATGGGTCCTGGCTTCAGTGCCATAAGCTCTGCCTCAGTAGCAAGGTTCTTAGCCATTCAGGGCAGTTTTTGAGAAGTGTATTTGGGGCCTGTGTTCGAGACACTGTAGGCCCCAGTGGAGCCCTGTGCAGAAGATTCCCTATGATGTCAATAGCATGGCTATGTGTACCTGGCTTCAGGGAGCTGGGTAACCTGGGTTTGTGTGTCACCTACATAGCTGGAGAAGGTATCTTCCCTGACCCTCATGGTGCTAGGCTGCAGCCCTCCTCCTCCAAACTTCCCCATGATGCTACTTTGAGAAGACAGTGACACTCCTATGACAGTTACTCGGGGTACCTGGACCCAAGGAAGGACATAGTTCCCCACAGTCCCTGCCTGAGGTTAAATGCCACTTCCTTCCAGCCCTTCCTTGAAATAGAGGTCTGGCCAGTCCTCCTGCCCACTTCCTGGGGCTCAAGGATAAAGGGGCTGAGAGACTCTGGCAGGAGGGAGCTACAGAGACCTGGCACGGTAAAGGTATCATCCTCTTCCCTGCCAGATGCCCTCAATGAGCTCTGGTTCCAGTCTTCTCCCTCCCAGGCAAGCCTGGCTTCCTCCATGCCCTTCCATGCTTGGCTCCAGTCCTCTCCATCCTGATAGACACCAGTCCATCCCCCTTCCTTTACACACTCTCTGTGTCTCTCCACAGATGCTGAGCCTGCTGTGTCTGACCCTCTTCTTTGTTGGGTGCTCCACGGCTGGAACCCCAGGTGAGTCTTCAGCCCATGCCATCCTTCCCTTCTACACTGGTTCCATGAAGCCCTGTCCCCAGGACTCTGGGGACACATGTATGACCTGTTCTACCTTAGTGTGGGTGGCAGGCTGAGCACTGGCCTCCTGACCTTCTACTTTTTCTTGCAGCACCCGTGTCTGAGGATGTGCTGGTGGGCATTGTGGGGGGCCACAATGCTCGGCAGGGGAAGTGGCCATGGCAGGTCAGCCTGAGGATCTACAGCTACTACATGACCTCGTGGGTGCACATCTGTGGGGGCTCCATCATTCACCCCCAGTGGGTGCTGACTGCTGCCCACTGCATTCACAAGTGAGTTTCTTTTTTTGTTTGTTTTTGTTTTTTGAGAGCCACCATATGGTAGTTTTGGTTTTTTGTTTTTTTTCTAGATTTATTTGTTTATTATGTATACAGTGTTCTGCCTGCATGTGTCCCTGCAGGCCAGAAGAGGGCACCAGACTACATTGCAGATGGTTGGGAGCCACCATATGGTTGCTGGGAATTGAACTCAGGACCTCTGGTAGAACAGGCAGTGCTCTTAACACCTGAGGCATCTCTCCAGCCCTGCTTTTGTTTTTTTGAGACAGGGTTTCTCTGTGTAGCTTTGTAGACTAGGCTGGCCTCAAACTCATAGAGATCCACCTGCTTCTGCCTCCCAAGTGCTGGGATTAAAGGTGTGCACCACCACTGCCTGGCAACAAGTGAGTTCCTTTGTCATCTCGTGCTGGATAGGATGAGGGGTAAATCAGAAAGGTGGGGCCAGGATGGGGGTTCAGTTGACTCTGTCCAGGACAACCTCCCCACAGTACTAGAATATGTCATCACAACTTCTTTCTACCTCAGGAGAAACGCTGACCCATCATCCTTCCGGATCCATGCTGGGGATGTGTACCTCTATGGGGGCAAGGAACTGCTGAAAGTGAGCCAGATCATCATCCACCCGGACTATGTGAATGGTGTCCTGGGTTCTGATGTGGCCCTGCTCAGGCTGGAGAAATCCCTGGGCTGCTCTGCAAACATCAATCCTGTCAAGTTGACCTCTGGGTCTCTTGAGGTTACCTCAAGGTACCCATGCTGGGTGACTGGCTGGGGCATGACCCACGTGTATGGTATGTATCAAGGAAAGGTTTGGGCTGTGGGAACAAACTTGTCATCTGAGGCTCCCTGGTGGGTGGCACTGAGGTCGCAGGGAACAGGATCCAGGAGGGAAGAGAGGAGGACTGACAATACAGAGTGCCTCAGCTGTTTCCCCCAGATACTTCAGACATTCGTTAGAGTTCTGTACCTGAGAACAATGGCATGGCTGGGCCCAGAACACAAGACACAAGGGAAAGGCCATCCTCCCTCCTCTTCCCCATTCTTCTTCCTCTCCCTCCTCCTCTTCTGGGAACATGGGGCTCAACTCTTTGGTTCTTGAACTACAGGCAGATAGATTTTTTCTTACATTATGTATTTCTTTGGGGGGCATTGTGTCATGGCATCCATGTGGGGGTCAGGACACAACTTGCAGGAATGTTCTCTCTTTTTCTGAGTTCCTGGGGTTGAACTCAGGTCTTCAGGACTGGAAGCAAGTACTTCTACCTGCTGATCCATCTCTCCAGCCCCTATAAATAGACAGAATCCATCAGTGTTAGACATGGATCCTGCAGATTGGTGTCTCCCACACACACTGTTCCAGGGATGGATTTGGATAGGGATGGAGCTGCTTTCAGCTCCCAGGATGAGGGGGGTAGTAGACAGGTAGGGCTCTTCACCACCAGCCCTGCTTCCTCTCTCGCCAGAATCGCTGCCACCTCCCTACCGCCTGCAGCAGGTTCGGGTGAAGATAGTGGACAATGCCATCTGTGAGCAGATATACCACAATGCCACCAGGCACTACTACCAGGGCCGCAAACTCATCCAGGATGACATGCTGTGTGCTGGAAGTGAAGGCCGTGGAGCCTGCTATGTGAGTTCCGTTGACCTTCTCCTCCCTGTCCCCATCCCCACATCAAGGCTAATACCTCCCGATGCTTCTTCCTCTTCTAGGGTGACTCAGGCGGCCCCCTGGTCTGCAGGGTGGCAGGCTCCTGGAACTTGGTGGGAGTGGTGAGCTGGGGCTATCGCTGTAGCATGAGGAACACCCCTGGGGTCTACGCACGCGTGCAGTCCTTCCTGCCCTGGATCACTCAGCAGATGAAGCTGTTCCCCTGAGCCCTGCTGCTGACCTCGTGCTGGTCAGCAGATGAGTTGGCTAACCTCTTCCAGCACCCACTGCTTCAGCCTTTTCATGGTCTCCTGAACCATGAAGTCCTCTGGCCTTCTGGGAGTCTGGACATTCCTGACCCAGAGAAGAAAGCAGGGAGGATGGCCAGCAGGGGTGGGTGCTCTCAGCTCAAAGGGGGTGGGTTGGCGGGGGGTGGGGGTGGGGGAGTAGGGATTTGCATGCAGCTGTTGAAGTTTTGGCTGGTCTTAATAAAGGTCTTGTGCACATTCAAGTTCAGAGTTTTGTGTGAGTTTACATCTCCTTTTCTTTGGAAAGGATGCCTGCAGGTGTTGTCAACCATATGTTGGCAGAAAGATCTGCCCATGCTGCTAAACCTGTTAGTTCTCTGTGTCCTTGTCCTGGATGGTTATCTAGATAGTCACTTTTGGGCTTCAATATTTTGGCATCCAAAGTGTACTTGGAGTCTACATGTGGCTACACTGTGCACAAAGAATTTGGGGTCATAGCAGACCTTCAGCAGGACAAAAGACTTTAGCCATCGCCAGTGGCACAATGTGCTTGGGATCAGGTGACTCACTCCTCATCCTTCACCCCCAAGTTCATTCTATGCTGGGACTCTGGAGACCCGGGTACTCAGATAAGGATAAGGTCACCCAAAGAAGAAGGGACTGGAAAACAAGTACCTGCCTCAACACCCCTCTGCCAGAGCCCTAGCCCCAGCAAGTACATGTCTAACTGGCCTGATAAGAGGTCAGAAGCCCAGGATGGGGCTGGCAGCACTTGTCTTATCTAGACAAGATTCTGGTTTACAGAGTGAGTTACAAGACAGGCTCCAAAGCTACAGGGAAACCCTGTCTCAAACCCTTTCCCCCCAAAAAAGGTGACTGGTAATCGGTCAGTTCTATGGCCAGCTGCAGGCCCCTATCACCAAACAACCACCTGCCTGTTCTGTAACAGAAGCCCTCCCCAGGATCATGGTACCTTCTATGCCCCACACTTTAGGACCTCCACGACTGGGACAGAGGGAGGTCAATGGGGAGAGTGAACTCTGCCACCCCTGCACATCTGTCTCTGCCATGTGTGGTCTGGAGATGGATTTAAGAGGAAGAACAGTAAAAAGAAAGGAGTCGGGCATTTGCTGAAAGTAAAGAGCTGGACAGAGGGCAGCAAAGAGGAAAATGCTCTTTGCTGTTCACTAGAGAGCCTCCAGGTGGTGCTGCAGGATGTGAGGAGGACACCATGGTTCCGGTGCCTGCCCATTAGGTGTGCAAGGCAGAAGCTCAGCACCCCCTGGCAATGCCTGTTTGTGCTCAGCAGGTAGGGAGCAGCCTTTCCCAGGCCTTTCAGGGTCGTTTGGTTTTTAAATTTATTTCTCTTGGAGAAGGAAGATCTATGTGGCCCAGGCTGGCCTCAACTGCCCATGCCAAAGCTCTTGCAGGACGGTGTCCACTCTTTTCATTGGCTTTATTTGCTATTCGATGTGTGGCTGGCAGAATGAAGGTGGATGGCTCGGCATGTACTCCGATTGCACCAGGTCTGGGATGGGAAAAGGAGGGCAGTGGTGGGAAGCAGGGTTTGGGGACCTGGGACCTTTCTACATGACAACAGGGTATGGCACCCACCATGTCCACACAGACTCCCAGCACACCTCCTACCTCCCATGGGACCACATAGGCTAGGAGTTTAGTAATGTATGTGCACCCATAAAGCCCCAGGATCCCACTGGAAGTGGATCCTACCAATTTCAGGTTGCTCTCAGCCTGACATACACTCTGTGGCTCCTAATTGGCAGGAGAGGCAAGATTGCTTACTAGGGAGTGACCATCTTTCTCAGCCTGTGGATGCCCTAGGCCTGCCCAGCATGATACAATCCACTGTCTATCCTAGGGTCTCATTTGTATTGCACAAACACTCTACCACTAGGCTACATTCCCAGTGTTTTTTGATATTTTGAGGCAGTCTTGTTAAGTTGGCCAGGCTGCCTTTGAACTCACACAAGCAATCCTCCTGCCTCAGCCTCCAGAGTGCTAGGCTTACAAACGTTAAGTCACCTTGGCTAGCTCTGTGTTCTCTCTTTTTTGGGCACAGAGCCTCATGAAACCCAGGTTGGCCTTTAACCCCTGACCCTCCTGCCTTCATCTTCTGGGAGCTAGGATTACAGATTGGTACCATCAAGCAGGGGTCTTAGTTTCATTTTTACTGTCTTTGATACAAAAAAACAAAACAACCCCCCCCTCCAAAACCCACCTTAACAAGACCAACTTAGGGGTGGAAGTGTTTGTTCTGGTTCCCAGATATACTCCATCACTGTGGAGAAGGCATGGAGGCAGGGGCATGAGGCAAAGTAATCATGTGATGGTCACAGTGCAGGAGCAGAGCAACAAACGCATGCTGATCAGCTCTCTCCATTCATATAGTCAGGAGCCCAGCCAGGGAACAGTGCTGCCTCCATTCACCAGGTCATCCCACCTAAGCCACTGTAACAGGATCATTCCCTACTGGAGGTCCTTCTCTCCGGTGATTCAGTCAAACTGAAAATCAACATTTTCACAATCAGTTTATCCTGGACTGGGGAATCCAATCCAATCCTTCCAGCATGTTAGACAAGCGCTCTCCCAACTGTGCCCCCTCCCAGCTCGGTTCTCCCGGCTTCTAATTAGCATTTTTGTCAGGGCTAGCAGTGTACATTTCACCACATGTCCATATTTTCTATTTGCATATCCGTTTTGGTGAATGTGCAAATGTTTTTTTTTATTTTGTTGTTTTAATTACTTCCTAAGTTCTACATAATATATGTCTCGAATCAAAGGCTTTTAAGCATTTAAATATTCTACGGAGAACTGATTCCGCTGCACAGAATGGGAGGATGGAGGTAAACAGAACAAGTGGAAGGAGTAGAAGGGAGCTGAAAGTTCTGAAGGATCTAGGCACAAAGTCGTGGAGCCAGCCCCGGGCCCTGTATCTGATGTAAGTTGGAGGAAGGAGGCGGTGAGGTCCACTGGTGGCTTTCCCCAGTCCTGCTGCATAAGGCAGCGAAGACCTGCTATCCCTGCACTGCGGGGTGTGGTGCACACCTGCTATCCCTGCACTGTGGGGTGTGGGGCACTCCTGCTATCCCTGCACTGCTGGGTGTGGGGCACACCTGCTATCCCTGCACTGCTGGGTGTGGGGCACACCTGCTATCCCTGCACTGCTGGGTGTGGGGCACACCTGCTATCCCTGCACTGCTGGGTGTGGGGCACACCTGCTATCCCTGCACTGCTGGGTGTGGTGCACACCTGCCATCCCTGCACTGCTGGGTGTGGGGCACACTTGCCATTCCTGAACTCAGGAAGCTGAAGCAGAATGATTCTGGGTTGGTTGTCAGCTTGGGCTACATAGTAAGATTGGATCTTAAAAACAAATCTAGAAGAACTGTTGGGAGACAAGGGACAACTGTACATGTGTGATAGGAGATGAGACAAGCATGAGGACATGGTCCTGTGGGTATCAAGTTCAGGCAGCAGAGTGGCACTCTTCTAGTCAGGGCACATGTGTTATTTGTGACATTTACTCAGTGTCATTGAAAGTCTCTATAGGACCACAGCCAGGCCTGGGGAGACGGCTCAGTTGGCAAAGTGTGTGCCTTGTAAGTATGAGGGCTTGAATTTGGCTCTCAAGAATCCACATAAAAAACCTAGGCATGGTGGCACACTTGTGATCCTGTAGCTGGGAAGTGGAGACAGAAGATCTTCGGGCATACAAATGAGCCAGCTTAGGCTAATTGAGCAAATCCCAGGCAAGAGACCCTGTTTTTTTTTTTTTTTTTTTTTTTTGGACACAAGTCAGGCAGTGGTGACATACACCTTAAATCCCAGCACTCAGGAGTCAGAGACACTCAAATTTCTATGAATTGGAGGCCAGCCTGGTCTACAGAGAGAGTTCCAGGACAGCCAAGGATACATAGAAAAACCCTGTCTCAGGAAGAAAAGGAAGAAAGAAAGAAAGAAAGAAAGAAAGAAAGGAAGGAAGGAAGGAAGAAAGAAAGGAAGGAAGAAAGAAAGACAGAAAGGAAGAAAGGAAGAAAGAAATTAGTACCTCAGGTCAACCTCTGGTTTACACACACACACACACACACACACACACACACACACACACAGAAATGACGAGGGACAGCCAATATCAGCAACAGCAAGGGCTTGTCACTTTTCTAACTATTGAAGAGAGCTGAAGACACATTTCCCCAAGGGAGCAGTTTTCTGTTGTCTAGACAAATGGAGATCTGGTACCCGAAGATCCCAGCCGTGCCCCTTGCCAGCAGGTTTCATATACAGGACACCTATGTGCACAGTAACAGCAATGAACTGAGAACCCGAATGGGAACACAGCAAAACCCATCCTCGGCTCTTCTATGCACTTTATATGCACCATAGAAGGTGGCTGACTGAACACTGTAGGTACCTGGGTAGCAGGGACAGGAGTGGTCAGGGGCTTGAGTAGAACAGAGTTGATGGGGAACAAAGGGACAGGAAGGCAGGGATGCCACCTGGGCAGGAAATAGTGTGTTGGGAACAGCACACTGGTCTGGTTCTCTCCTGACTCTGAAAGTGATTCAGGAGTCCTCAGAGGACATAGTGGAGGATCCAGTCCAAGTAATGTGTGACCTGAGTGCAGATGCCAGGCCTGCTGGGTTGTGCACAGCCATCACGTGAGCTGATCACATCTGTCTGCAGCCAGGTATTTTTTGCCTTGTAGGCCAAAGGTCCTCTGGAGTCGCCCTAGAGAGAACAGGGGTCGGTACTCTTGTCAAGGCTGAGTGGAGGTGGCAAGATGATGAGGTGTCCGGACATGGGATCACCTGGCAGGAGTTGCGGTTTTCATTCCCAGCACACAGCACGTTGTCACTGACAATATGAATATTGTCCCCTGTGTTGAGACCTTTGTGGCACTTCGTGTCACAAAGGTGGTTTTCCACAATGGGAACTTGCACCCCCTCAGGGAAATAGCA